GAGCCTGCCTAAGTCCCATTGTGCAAATGGTCCATGCACCAGTGCGAATTAGTCCTCGACTACGACCCGGTGAGTAGTCCTCGACTTCCAACCAGTTTGGGTCGCCGGCCTTAAAAAGTTTGAGAAACACTGGAATAGAGAATGGAATGAATAGAATAGAATATAGAATAGAATAGAATATATAGAACTAGAATAGAAAATAGAATAGAATTAGAGATAGAACTAGAATATAGAATAAATAGAACATAGAATAGAATAGAATAATAGAATAGAATAGAAATAGAACAGAATAGAGAACGAAACGGAATAGAATAGAATATATATGGGAATAAATAGAATATAGATAGAATATATGGAAGCAGAACTATAGAACAGGAATAGAACAGGGATGAAACAGGAAGGAATGGAATGATGGAATGGAATGGAATGGAATGGAATAGGATAGAATAGAATATGGAAGGGACCTGGAGGTCTTCTAGTCCAGCCTCACTTAAGCAGGAGAATTTGACGTCTTTAGATTGAGATTGGTATACAAGCTCCTTGGGCATTGGCAAAGTAAAACAATAATAAGCCTTATTATAGGCACGAAGGTTCTATAGTTAGATTATGAACTGAATGTGTGCAGTCAACTCTGAGGAAAAATAAAGAATAAAAAAAATTATAACCTGTCAGCCGCCAGAGTCACCTGTAGGGGAGAACAGGCAGCATTACACGTTTAGTTAAATACATACATAAATAATAAATCCTGCAAGAAGCCCTTGCCAGACTGAGATATTTTATGGTTGTGATCTTTATTATAATCCGATGTTTCTCTCACAAGGAGCCATGGCGCACAGTGAGTTAGTATGCAGTATTCGCTTCTCATCCGAGACAAAGTTCTTCAGCTCTGACTGGATGGTGGGTAAATAGAAGGATTTTATATCCTTGCAGGAACCGCTGTCATTTGCATTCTTTTAGAGCAGGAGAATTCTGGGAGTTGAAGTCACAAGTCTAAAGTTGCCCAAGTTTGAAAGGCCTCTCGTTTTTAGAGGGAGATCATTGAGGCACCTGGAGTTTGTTTCCTCAGGGCACTGAACGGTGACAAAAGGTGGGGGGGCTGCAGGATGTTTTTTGCACTGTGTATCCACCCACAAACATCATCCAGTCAGAGGAAGCAGCTTCTTGGATGAGAGAAGTGAAAGATCTTCCAAAAAAACCCAGAACGTCCAGTTGCCTCTCGGAAAAGCAACTTTGGGACAACCGTGACTCGGAAAAGACTAAGAATTCCCACAGATCGTCAAGATTTTTGTGCATGGTGTTTGTGTTAGCTCAGATCTGTGTTGCCAACCTTGGCGCTTAGCAACTGTCTGCTTAGCCTCAGAGTTGCGATCTTAAGTTGAGAACTTATCTCGTGGCTCAATTTGGCAAAGCTCGATAGATTTACACATCACCCACAGCCTTTGGAGCACCTACGCGTACCTGAGTCATCCTGTCTTTCCAGATGTTTATCGATGCCGCGTTCAGTGCTGGTTTCTGAGTGAAACTCTGCCCACATTGAAGCAGGCGTAGGTTTCTCTCCCGTGTGGACGGTTGATGGCGGAGCACATGCGAAAAGGATCCCGGAAACTTTTCCCGCATTCGGGCACTCCGGACGACTTCGACCCGAATGGGAGATCTGTGATTCGAAGCTTGCACGGCGTTCTGAAAAGCTTTCGCCGCATCGACGGCACAGGGTCAGGTATCCTCCAAGCGGACACCCGTCCGTAAACGACCCCTTCGCTGCAAAGCCTCGCTCCGTTATCCTTTCGAGGACCAGGCTCCGCTGGGTTCTTCCGCAACCAGCCCATCCCCGCCGTTGAGGATCCTGATTGCCATTAAGGAGCCAATAATATGGGAAGCTCAGGAATTCCCTGAGGAGAAACCCCAGAGTATTCAGCGCATAGCGGGTGCACCTGTTGAAACAGCATAAACCGCCCAGATGTTGAGCTTTCCTTAGACCAGAAACAAGAAACAACAGCTGGACTGGATGCTGGAGGGGGGGTGTGTCTACCCACTCAGAATCAAGTTCAACAGAGGACAGCTAGATACAGTGAGGGCGAGCCTTTAGAGACCGAGGTGCTCAAACTGCAACCAAAACCCACTTACTTATCGCCGGGTACAGGGTGGGCGTGGACCCACTGGGTGGGCGTGGGCTGTGGTAGTCATGGCAGCTTGGGTTGAGTGTGGCCAACGGTGTGTGTGGTCACCCTATGTTACTCATGGGGAGGATACACAGGTAGGGGGGTGGGCAGGGTTGGGGGAGATCCAGGGGTCATCCGGCAGACGGGGCAGTCGGCAGGAGGCTCGTTCCTGCGACCGGTGACGTGGAGGCAGGGCGGGGGTCCCATTGACTGGGCAAGGCAAGGGCCGGGGGACTGATGCCTGACACCATCAGACACTGCAGACAGGGCCAGCGAGCGTCCATGCCCCTCGACCCCACACATTATGGGGTCGCACCGCACCAGCAGTTCAAAGAAGCCATCTCTGAGCTGGATGGTGGCAACAGCTGAGGCGCTACAGTGGGTCATGCCCAGAAAAGGCGAAGGCGTGGGAGGCAGGAGGACGGGACAATGGGAGGGAAAACAGCCGTGTGCCAGGATGAATCCACCCACAAGGGACCTCGGAAGTTAGCAGGCAGATGGTTGAGATGGCAGTTGTCATCTCCAAGGAATGGCGTTGTGTGCCCACAGAAAGAGCTCGTAGTGCCGCCTTTGGCACAGCGTGCCATAGGTCGCTACACCATGGCCTTAGATCATTGATGGCGAGCCTTTTAGAGGGATCCGAGTGCCCAAACTGCAACCCAAACCTTACTTATGTATCGTGGGTGCAGGGGGATGTGGCCTCCCATGGGCTGGGTGCTGGCCCCCCCATTGGTGGGGATGCTGCGTGGTAACGGCAGGCTGGGTGGTGGGACTCAAGGTTCAATAATCCCTTCCAACTTTCGAGATCTTTTTTTACCACGAAAGTTGAAAATTGATTGATTGATTGAACAACCTTTTTTTTTTTGTTTCTTGCACACGGCCTGGTGTGAGGCCAAGCGAAAAGGTTTTATAAAACCCAAGCTGCAAGGCATAGGATGGCGATGGCACGCGTGCGCAGAGAGGGACTCGGCATGCCACCTGTGACGTTCAACACTATCGGCGTAGATTCAGCTATCATGCTTATCTTACTCACAGTTTACTCTAAAGGAAAATTCTAACCCTGATTGTCTTTCGAAGGACAGATAGTAAAGCTGAAGTCAAATATTCGGGGGCACCTAACTAATAATAGAGGATCAATAGAAAAGACCCTTAATGTGGGAAGATGGAAGGCAAATGGAGAAGGAGACGCAGAGGATGATATGATTAGTGTGGTGGCATAATGAATAAGATTTGGGAAACATCTGGAAGACAGTGGAGGATAAGGGTGTGTGGAATGCTAGAGTCCAGGGGTCCCCAACCTATTGGCCCTGGCCCAGTACCAGGCTGTACGGGTCTTGTACAGCGGGCCGCAGAAATGGGCGGCCCTGGGTGCGCCATGTGATAGGGTACGCATTCCCCCTCGCGCTAGCCCCGACGGGCCGTTGCACATGGGGCGCATGCGTGGAACAAGAACGCTAGCGCAGGGGGGCGGCATTCCCCGTTTGTGCATGATGCAAACAGGCCCGCTAGCCGCGGCTGTGTGTCCGAGGGCCCATTTGGCTTGCACAAATGGGGCCGCCACCGCAGGGGGGTCTGCACGGTCAATTCCATGCACTTGCGCAAATGGGGCTAGCAGACCGTGGGGGTGCAAGCCATCGGCATGTCGCATGCTAGCCAGCGCAGCTGCATGCGCGAACTCGGCCACTAGTACTGCAATAGGAGACGTGTGGCCCTGTTGGGTGGTGCACACACGCAGAACTTGGAAGCTGGCTCTCCCCTCCGGGCCGTGAGCCCGGAAAAGTTGAGAACTCGCTATATCCACAGGGTCACAAAGAGGCAGACATGAGTAGCAACTGAGTCCATTAACGATAGCCTTATATATAAGTAAACAATTTCCTTGTGCTCTTTCCCCTACAGAACTTTCTAATATCAGATAACATCTAAGGACAGAGATCGAACGATGAAATACAGACTGCGCTCAAGGTTGACTCAGCCGTCAATCCTTCCTGAGGTCGGTGAAATGAGGACCCAGATGTTGGGAGGCAATAGGCATGACTCTGTAAACCACTTAGAGAGGGCTGTGAAGCACCGTGAAGCGTATATAAGCTAATTGCTATTTATATGCCCAGAGGTAGGCCCACCTGGCTCTTTTATGACTCATGAAATCAACTCCAGAATTCCTGAGCCAGCCATGCTGAGGGGAAAGGAGAGGTTTCCAAGCTGAGCCAGGCTGTTCCTCAGGAATTCTGGGAGTTGAAGTCCCACGAGTCATAAAAGAGCCAAGGTGGCCTACCCCTGGTCTAAGGGCTATTCTAAGTGCTATTTATATGGCCCAGGGGTAGGCCACCTTGGCTCTTTTATAACTTGTGGACTTCAACTCCCAGAATTCCTGAGCCAGCCATGCTGAGGGGAAAGGGAGAGGTTTCCAAGCTGAGCCATGCTGACTGAGGAATTCTGGCAGTTGAAGTCCACGAGTCACAAAAGAGCCAAGGTTGCCTACCCCTGGATTAGAGTATATACATCCCATCAAGAGAGTAGAAGAGTTCAACTCCCGGAATTCCTGAGTCAGCCATGCTGAGGGGAAAGGGAGAGATTTCCAAGCTGAGCCATGCTGGCTCAGGAATTCTGGGAGTTGAAGTCCACGAGTCACAAAAGAGCCAACGTTGCCTACCCCTGGTATGGCTCACCCATCAGCTGCTGCCCTCTCAGCTTCTCCACCTATCTTCTCCCTTTCCCAAGAGGTCAATCTTTGGGTATAGGTGGTCCTCTTTTAACGACTCGTCAGTTAGCAACTGTTTGAAGTTACAATAGACCTCTGCAGACCTATCGTTTAGTCCTCGGCCTACAACCACAACTGCTCTTAGCCGACACATTTTGTTAAGTGAGTTTTGCCCCATTTTAAGACCTTTCTTGCCACGGTTGTTAAGCGAGTCAATGAGGCTGATCAATTAGTATCATGATTGTTAAATGAATTCGACTTCCTTGTTGACTTTGCTTGTCAGAAGATCGCAAAAGGTGATCATGTGACCACGTGCAACCACCGATAGAAATGAGTCGCCAAGCGTCTGAATTTTGATCACTTGACCACCGGGATGCTGCAACGGTCGTAAGTGTGAAACACGGCCGTAAGTCACTTTTTGGGCGCTATTGTAACTTCGGTCGATAAATAACTGTCGTAAGTCAAGGACCATCTGTATTCGATATACATAAGGACTGCTTGTACGCTTCCAGCATCCAATCAACGTAGAAGTGCTCTCTCCCGCCCTTTACTACAGTGAGTACCTACCCACTCCGTTGGGATCCTGACTGTCTTTCAGTTCAGCTTCTCCACACAGGTGGCTGTTGGATCCAGAGTCTGCCAGGGAGTCTCCGGCCTCAGGGGAGATCACCACCACCGCGGCGCACGGTTCCAGCACCTAAGACAGAAGAGGCAGCTCCCATAAGCCAGAACTCAGCATCTTTTTTACACCAGTTTTGGTCACCACGATGTAAAAAAGATGCTGAGACTCTAGAAAGAGTACAGAGAAGAGCAACAAAGATGATCAGGGGACTGGAGGCTAAAACATATAAGGAACGGTTGCTAGAATTGGGTATGCTAGTTTAACGAAGAGAAGGACAAGGGGGGACACGAAAGCAGTGTTCCAGTATCTCAGGGACTGCCCCAAAGAAGAGAGAGTCAAGCTATTCTCCAAGGCTCCTGAAGGCAGGACAAGAAGCAACGGATGGAAACTAATCAAGGAGAGAAGCAACCTAGAACTGAGGAGAAACTTCCTGACAGTTACAACAATTAACCAGTGGAACCACCTGCCTCCAGAAACAGTGAATGCTCCAACACTGGAAGTTTTTAAGAAGAGACTGGACAGCCATTTCTCCAAAATGGTGTAGGGTTTCCTGCCTGAGCAGGGGGTTGGACTCGATGACCTCCAAGTCCCTTCCAACATTATTATTATCATTATTATTATTATTATTATTATTATTATTATTATTATTATTATTATAGTTGTCACTTAACAAAACAGAAATAAGCCTGAGCAGCAGTGCAGCAATACATTTGTAAAGTGCGGCATCGCACGACTATGCCGGCTTAACAGAAGTCACAACAGTTTTGATTGCTGTCCTTAAGCCAGTGGTTCTCAACTTTTTTAATGCCGCGCCCCCCAACCGGTCGTAAGTTGAGGACTACTCAACCGGTCGTAAGTCGAGGACTAAACTGGTGCAGCACCGTTTGCAGAATGGGACTTTTGGCGGGCTCAGCAGGGCAGAGACAGCCTGGACAATTCCTATTGGCTTTTGAAAGCCAATAGAATTAGACTCTATTCAAGAGGGTCTATTCTATTGGCTTTCAAAAGCCAATAGAATAAAAGGGAGCAGCACAGCTAAGGAAAAGAGGGGGAAAAATGGCGGACTGCGTTGTTTGGCGACCCCCGTGAAATGGTCGTTCGACCCCAAATGGGGTTCCGACCCACAGGTTGAGAACCGCTGCCTTAAGCGAACCCCACAGGGTAGTCAATGCGCAAATGTCACATATCTGGCTTTGATCGCAGAAACCCAGCCTGAAGCCAGCAGCCAGCATTTCCTCCCAAAGGGGAAATATTGCATCGTAACAGTTAAGGGGCCACAGCAGGAGTGAGAGATTCTGGTCCCCCTCCAGCTGGGGGACTCTGGACCAGTTCCTCTCATCCAGTCCACCCTGCTTGCAGTGGGTGGTGGTGGGAAGAAAAATGGGAGGAGATAATTTCTGAATGAAAGTCGGGTTACACACCTAATAAATTAAAAAAAAAACATTGGAGTTGATGCCGATTCTCGACTCCCACATCAGAGAGAGATTACCTTGATCTCTTGTTGCTGGATCCTGAGGAAGTCTTCCGCGAGGCCCACTGCCTGGGAACAAGCTTGAGGACAGCGGTCCCTGACCCAGCCCTGCATCCCTGGAGGTAGGACGGCCAGGAACTGCTCCAGGATCACCTGCTCCAGGATCTGCTCTTTGGAGTGCTTCTCTGGCATCAGCCACTGACAGCAACATTCCCGGAGTCTCTTGCAAACTTCTTGAGGTCCTTCAGCTTCCTGGTAACTGTACTGCCGAAAACGTTGGCGCTTAGCTTCGGTCAAGAGAGCCTCTTCATCCACATCCTTCATCGGCCTGTTTTCTTCAGCCTCGGGACCGTAAAGGATCGGAGGGGGGAAGTCACCGTGGTTGACCACCAAGAACTGGGGAACCCCTTCTCCGTTCGACCACTGGCTGGTGTTGGCGACAGACTCGTAGGAGTCCCAGGGAAAAGGCTTGGACTGGTGTGGAGTCCCAAACCCGGAAGGTAAAGGCTGGATCGCCTTCAAGAATTCCTGCCACTGGGCTTCCCAGCGTTGAGCCAAACCCTCCTCTGATCCTTGGATCATCTCTTGGGGAGCCATCCAGCCCAAGAACTCTCCTATGGTCCCGACCTGAATGACCCGAGGGACCGTCCGTTCCCCATCGGCTTCTAGGGGCCTCACTTGGGCTTCCTCCTCGGGCTTCCTCGTAGGGTTCATGCCGTGCCCCAGAACATTCTGGAAGGAGAGACAGGCGGCTTCCCCAGCCCTCAGTTCAGTAGCCATCTTTGTGGCTAACGTTTCCCAAAGGGCAACGTCCACATAGAGTGGAGGAAAGGTCCCCGTTTGAGGCCGACGGGAGCTTTTCAGAGCTGCAACGATGAGGATTTCCAAGCCAAGTTAAGTTCCCTAGACAACCGTGGGCCTCTTCTTTGAAAGATCGCTTTAAAAAGAAAGGTAAATGATTCCAAAAAGGATGAACCGGATGGATCTTCTGGTGAGGCCCACAAGCTTTGGAAGATTTCAGTCACACACACACAAAAAATCACTGGAGGAAGGGACCAACAGCATTTCTGATCAGCAGAGAGACTGTTTTTCCTTCAAGAAAGCAGCTGGTTCTAAAAGAGAAACCGTACTTTAAAATGTTGGAATATAAACTCTGATCATCCCCAGATATTTTAAGTACATATTAATCGCATTTACCTAGCCACCCGCCTCACGTGAGCTGAGTGAACCGTGGCACTCCTTTTGTGAGTTCGGGAAAATTCAACAGCATGCGTACTTTTTTAGACAAATTCACCAGCTTCTAATCCACATATTATTCTACAACGTGATGTTAGATTTCTTTAGTCTTCGACCAACAGAACAATTATTGCTTATTTATTCGTTTTTTTAAAAAACGGTGTGGCTGCCCGGCTTAAAATGGCATTTTAAGGCAGTCCTCGACTTATGACCACAATTGAGCCCAAAATTTCCACTGCTAAACAAGACAGTTGCTGAGCGAGTTTTGCCTCATTTTATAACCTTTCTTGAATCACTTAAGGGCTGTTAAGGGAATCTGGCTTCCCCATTGACTTTGCTTGTCAAAAGGGGATCACATCATCCCCGGGACAACTGCAACCATCATAAATATGAGTCAGTTGCCAAGCATCCAAATTTTGATCACATGACCATGGGGGTGCGGCAATGGTCATAAGTTTGAAAAAATGGTCATAAGTCACTTTTTCCAGTACTCTTGTAATTTCTAACGGTCAGTAAACAAATGGTTCTCTTTCCTTCCCTTTTTCTCTTGTAATTTGACTGCAAAATCTTATGGAAAGAACTACCTTACTATTGCAGGGGTAGGTAACCTTGGCTCTTTTATGACTCATCGACTTCAACTCCCAGAATTCCTGAGCCAGCATGGCTCAGCTTGGAAACCTCTCCCTTTCCCCTCAGCATGGCTGGCTCAGGAATTCTGGGAGTTGAAGTCCACGAGTCACAAAAGAGCCAAGATGGCCTACACCTGCCCTAGGCTATATAAATAACACTTAGAATAGCCCTTAGACCAGGGGTAGGCAACCTTGGCTCTTTTATGACTCGTGGACTTCAACTCCCAGAATTCCTGGGTGAGCATGGCTCAGCTTGGAAACCTCTCCCTTTCCCCTCAGCATGGCTGGCTCAGGAATTCTGGGAGTTGAAGTCCACCAGTCATAAAAGAGCCAAGGTGGCCTACCCTCGTTCTAGTGTAGTCTATGCATCTCCCTTCCCAATAATGAATTAAATGGGATTCACTCCCAAGTAAATGAACCAAGGAATGTAAAACGTTAACCTGAAATATTTACAAGAATGATCTTGTTGCCTTCCTGTCCTCTCAGTTCCTCCAGAATTTCAAGACAGGCAATAATGGGTCCCTTCTCAGCTGCTTCTCCCCGAAACAACTCTGCAGGGTAGGTTAGATCAAAAAAGGAATAGCTCTTTTAAATTCCAGTCTCGCTGGTCTAAGTCGAACAATTTAAACATGTTGAGAAACAGATACAATCCTTCCTGTTCAGGCTCTTCAGTTTAAGATGCATCACCCGCCAAGATTTTGATCTTTTTATAACGTTTTTTTTTAAACAAACTACTTAATGTTTTAAAGTTATTTTTAGAGGTTTACAGCATCCTGTGTAAACGGTTAACATTTTTTAAAAAATAAATTTTACTCCCCACTGGGATTTTTTTCTAATAGGAGAAAAAGTTGACTGCACCATTTCTAAATATATAAATCAGGGTCTAGAGGAAAAAAGGACTAGGGGTGACATGACAGCACTATTCCAGTATTTGAGGGGCTGCCATATTGAAGAGGAAAGAGGAAAGAAAGAAAGAAAGAAAGAAAGAAAGAAAGAAAGAAAGAAAGAAAGAAAGAAAGAAAGAAAGAAAGAAAGAAAGAAAGAAAGAAAGAAAGAATCAAGGAAAGAGGCAATCTGGAATTAAGGAGAAACTTTCTAACAGAGAACAATTAACCAGTGGAACAGCTTGCCACCAGAAGTTGTGGGTGCTGCATCACTGGAAGTTTTTAAGAAAAGACTGGACAGCCATTTGTCTGAAATGGTATAGGCCAGGGGAGGCAACCTTGGCTCTTTTATGACTCGCGGACTTCAACTCCCAGAATTCCTGAGCCAGCCGTGCTGAGGGGAAAGGGAGAGGTTCCCAAGCTGAGCCATGCTGGCTCAGGAATTCTGGGAGTTGAAGTCCATGAATCATAGAAGAGCCAAGGTTGCCTACCTCTGGTATAGGCCCTATAGCAATGTTTCTCAACCTTGACAATTTTAAGGCATGTGGACTTCAACTCCCAGAATTCCACAGCCAGCAATGCTGGCTGTGGAATTCTGGGAGTTGAAGTCCACATGCCTTAAAATTGTCAAGGTTGAGAAACACTGCCCTATAGGGTCTCCTGCTTGAACAGAGAGTTGGACTACAAGACCTCCAAGGTCCCTTCCAGCTCTATTGTGCTTGAAATTGAAAATCTTAAAACATAACATTTTAGGTACCTCATCTCCAGCACACCCTGGCAAACTTCCTCTCACCAGCAACCAAGACCATTTTTAATACAGCCTGTAAATGCTATTCTTTTTCTTGTTGTTTTATTTGGGTGTTAACTTTAAAGATCTGCTTCTCCACAGCTAGAAACAAATTCTGAAGCATGCATAGCTTACCCCACTGCAACTGAGGTGTCAAGGAAGGATGGGAAATTACGAAAAAGCATTTTAAGCTCCTCTTGCTGTGGTCTTCAAGCCCGTGGCTGCCCTTGCCTTGCCCGCATCCCAATTCATAGCGGCAAGGAGATAATTCTATAACTTTCTATCAGGGCAAGCACCTCAGCCTGTTGCGGCAGGAAGAGAAGTCTGGTTTTAAAAAGCCGCGGAATCAAGGAGAAAACGGGAAAATAAAAGGTACCCGGGAGAGAAACTGAAGCTGCCGGGATAGACTGCCAGCTGAAAATGTATCTAAGCAACGCACAAAAGAGTGCAAGAGAGTGCAAGGATCCCAGGTAAGCGAGACCAGACTCTGCAAAAACCCTGAAGGTCTAGTTTTGCCCGCAGCATGATTCTCACCTGCGCATTATGCTTCTTCCCACAATCTGTGAGACCCTTGGCGGAGATGTGGGGGCGGGTGGGGGGGGGAGTTGGCTGTTGTCTCTTGTTGGTCTGATAGTTTCCTACAAGGCAGGGTGGCTGAGCACAGGAAGAGGCCTTGCCGAGTTTTATGCCCACCCATCCTCCAGCCCCAAGGTTACTCCAGCCTCTCTAGGAAGTAGGAGTGGCTGTGGTGTAACCCTTTAGTGTGCTTTCCTACGCACCGCCAAGGGAGAGCAATCCCATGGCCTCCTATTGAGATGCACACGGAGAACAGTTTGACTGGGATCCTTTTCTTTGAAGAGAGGGACAATTCCATAAGGCCAGGGGACAATAGAGACCTGAGCAATTAGGCTCCTGGGATTTCTAGCACAGCTGGAGAAGAGGGTCCCCTGGATCAGGGGTAGGCAACCTTGGCTCTTTTGATGACTCGTGGACTTCAACTCCCAGAATTCCTGAGCCAGCCATGCTGAGGGGAAAGAGAGAGGTTTACAAGCTGAGCCATGCTCACCCAGGAATTCTGGGAGTTGAAGTCCACGAGTCATAAAAGAGCCAAGGCTGCCTATCTCTGGCCTAGGCTGCTTTATGACTCGTGGACTTCAACTCCCAGAATCCCTGAGCCAGCATGGCTCAGCTTAGAAACCTCTCCCTTTCCCCTCAGCATGGCTGTCTCAGGAATTCTGGGAGTTGAAGTCCACGAGTCATAAAAGAGCCAAGGTAGCCTACCCCTGCCCTGGACAATCAAAAAGAGAAGAGCTTTTAATTTCCCAAGCATCTCTCAGAGGGATCGGCATCAGGAGGAACATTGCACCTCCTTCTAGTTCAGGGTTTCCCAGCCTTTAAGACACGTGGACTTCAACTCCCAGAATTCCTTGGCCGGCGAAGCTGTAACAAGATTGGCTTGCTTCTCAAGAGTGTTAGCATTTTCAACTAAACTGTTGTATCCTTTAATTAAAGCTCTCCAGAGGACAACTAGTTTTGCCTGACACTTCATAGTATTTTTGATCACATTAGATGCTCATTGAGATTTAAATAGCAGAGTTGGAAGGGACCTTGGAGGTCTTCTAGTCCAACCCCCTGCTCAAGCAGGAGAACGGTCCTATGGCTCTTGAAAGCCTCCAGCGATGGAGCACCCAACCAGCCATTCCACTAGTTTATTGTTCTCACTGTTAGGAAGTTGCTCCTTAATTCCAGGTTGCTTCTGTCTTGATTACTTTCCATCCATTGTTTCTTGTCTTGCCTTCCGGAAAGTAGATTGAACAGTCCCCCCTCCCCTTTCTTTGTGGCAGCCCCTCAAATATGCTATGTTATCCTTAGTCCTTCTTTTCACCAGTGCAACTGAATACTCTGTGGTGTGCAGAGATTCAAAGCATGGCAGCTATGCAGCTTTATTCTATTTTTTTTTAAAAAAAATTCTCCTAGGTCAGTGGTTCTCAACCTTTTTAATGCTGCGACCCCTAACCGGTCATAAGTCAAGGACTCCTCAACTGGTGCAGCACCGTTTGCAGAATGGGACTTTTGGCAGGCTCAGCAGAGCAGAGACAGCCCGGACAATTCCTATTGGCTTTTGAAAGCCAATAGAATTTGACTCTATTCAAGAGAGTCTATTCTATTGGCTTTCAAAAGCCAATAGAATAAAAGGGAGTAGCACAGCTAAGGAAAAAGGGGGGGAAATGGCGGACTGCGTTGTTTGGCGACCCCCGTGAAATGGTCGTTTGACCCCAAATGGGGTCACGACCCACGGGTTGAGAACCGCTGTTCTAGGTGCATCTTTCCAGATGTGTTGGAGTAGAGCAGTCCCCCCCCCCCAATTTAGGCAACTTTAAGCCATGTGGAGTTCAAGTCCTAGAATTCTCCAGGCAGCATGGCTGGCTGAGGAATTCTGGGAATTGAGTCCACACAGTTTAAAATTGCCAAGGTTGAAAAACATGGAATAGTTTTCCTATTCAGCCAAGTGGACCATATAGAAGGCGCCCAATTCAGAAGCCTGCAAGCATGTTGCTCATTCAACCACAGCACCCTTTAAAATCTACCTTCCAATGATCACAACTCCTTGGGAGTGATGGTATTTGTAGTCCACCGCATTTGGCAATTTAAGGAAACCCAGTGTTTGATGAATTCCTAAGCGTGGAACTGCAAGGGTTACATTGCAGAGCTATTAGTACCCTACCTGTGAAAAATGTGGGCCTTAGCTGAGGTTATTATTATTACATTTATTTACCACCCATCTTGCATAGCACATGGCTGGTGTGTGGCTTCCTCCCTCAACACATTTTTTTTATATTTTCTATTATTTCATGATTGTTATACTCCTTCATTTTTAACTTTGTTCCCCCCCCTCCAAAGTCTCAGGTGAGATGGATAGCTATATACAATTATTAAATGAATTAAGAAGCACAATGATCCAGTCCAGAATTGCTTCTGCCCCCTGCAAAAATATTGGGGGGGGGGGAAATACAGATTTGCAATCCAAGTTTGCACTCCTAGCATTCAGCAGGATTGCAACTCGCAGCTCCACACTCCTAAGTAATGATCAGTCCGGCGGGGCAGAAATTGCATGCCTCACGCTGAATCCATTGCGGCTCTCTAGTTTCCAGATAAAGCAGCAACGGCAGGATCCTTGAACACGTGCAGAGTATTCCTTGACACGACACGGCTGAAGCAAAGCTGAACCGCTCTGCTATCTTCTCTTAGCGGCATTCCCGCGCAAGGCCCGCGGGGGTTCTCCAATCTGGGAGACTCATGGACTTCAACTCCCAGAATTCCTGAGCCAGCCATGCTGAGGGGAAAGGGAGAGGTTTCCAAGCTGAGCCATGCTGACTGAGGAATTCTGGCAGTTGAAGTCCACGAGTCACAAAAGAGCCAAGGTTGCCTACCCCTGGATTAGAGTATATACATCCCATCAAGAGAGTAGAAGAGTTCAACTCCCGGAATTCCTGAGTCAGCCATGCTGAGGGGAAAGGGAGAGATTTCCAAGCTGAGCCATGCTGGCTCAGGAATTCTGGGAGTTGAAGTCCACGAGTCACAAAAGAGCCAACGTTGAGCTTCCTGCTCAGAGTCACAGACGAAAAAAGACGCCAGCGCTCTCCTAAGCGCGAGGTCGCCCGCGAGCCGAAGATAACTTACCATCCGCAGCGGAGCTCCAAAGGGTTAAACCAACTGCACCGCGATGCCTAGAGAGGCCCAGAACGACAAGGCACATGGTGGCATGGAAATAACGAGGCAACTTCCGGTCCAGCCGCCTTTCTTTGATCTGTGACGTTATAATTCCAGGGTTGGTTTTTGTTGTTGTTGTTGTTTACTATTTTATTTACGGTGCGCATTGCCATCAGGGAAGCTGAGGCACAAGCCTTAGAGCTATAATATGAATTCAGGCAAATCTAAGCAAAAAAAAAGTTTAAACCTCATGGGAGTTGATTAGAGGACTGGAAGCTAAAGCATATAAGGAACGGTTGCTGGAATTGGGTATGTCTAGCTGAACGAAGAGAATAGTAATAGTAGTAAAGTTGGAAGTGACCTTAGAGGTCATCTAGTCCAACCCCTTGCTCAGGCAGGAAACCCTACACCATTTCGGAGAAATGGCTGTCCAGTCTCTTCTTAAAAACTTCCAGTGTTGGAGCGTTCACCGCTTCTGGAGGCAGATTGTTCCACTGGTTAATTGTTCTCACTGTCAGGAAGTTTATCCTTAGTTCTAGGTTGCTTCTCTCCTGGATTAGTTTCCACCCGTTGCTTCTTGTCCTGCCTTCAGGTGCTTTGGAAAATAGCTTGATTCCCTCTTCTTTATGGCAGCCCCTTAGATATTGGAATACTGCTATCATATCCCCCCTTGTCCTTCTCTTCGTTAAACTAGGGATGAGAGGGGACATGATAGCAGTGTTCCAATATCTCAGGGGCTGCCACAAAGAAGTGGGAGTCAAGCTATTCTCCAAAGCGCCTGAAGGCAGGACAAGAAGCAACGGATGGAAACTAATCCAGGAGAGAAGCAACCTAGAACTAAGGAGAAACTTCCTGACAGTTAGAACAATTAACCAGTGGAACAACCTGCCTCCAGAAGCGGTGAATGCTCCAACACTGGAAGTTTTTAAGAAGAGACTGGACAGCCATTTGTCTGAAATGGTATAGAGTTTCCTACCTGAGCAGGGGGTTGGACTAGGAGACCTCCAAGGTCCCTTCCAACTTTACTATGATGATAATGATGATGATGCAACCAGAACTCACATCAGAAGCATCCTTAACCTCAGAAAGCTGATTAGCAACACTTACTTAAATTTCCTCAACCTTCCGTCATTAAACGGAAGGTTTGGGTTCTTGCTTATTTATGCAAAGCGTTCCTTCAGTAATTGCAACGCCCTGCTTTTGCGTTCTTGCTGCGATATTTTCCCGCTCAGCAGTTTTGAAAAGCTGTCACGGCAATCTACCATTTTCTACCCCCCCCCCAAAAAAAGATTCAAGAATGACTTCTGTAGCTGTGAGCTATGTCCATCATTGGCTGCAGAAGGCTGAACCAGGGAGACTGCCTACCTTCACGCGATGTAATAATGTTGTGTTTGTTGTCATTGTGAGTTGGGGGGGGGGAATGCACGAAGGGAGGCTTAGCCAATCTCATTGTACACATGTTGTACTTTGACAATAAAAGTTATTATTATTATTATTATTTTTAAAATTTATAAGCCGCCCCACTCCCGAAGGACTCTGGGCGGCTAACAATAAAAAACACATAAAACATAACAAACAACAATACAAAAACAATCATCCAGGGGTAACGTTTTATAAACCCCAGGCCTGCTGGAAAAGCCAGGTCTTAAGTAGCTTACGGAAGACCAACAGGGTGGGAGCGGTCCTAATCTCCGGGGGGAGCTGATTCCAAAGCGTGGGTGCCATCACAGAGAAGGCCCTCCTGCGCGGCCCCGCCAAATGGCACTGCTTGGCCGACGGGGCCCGAAGGAGGCCCAGCCT